CTTCCAGCTGCAGGAGCTCAAGGGGAAGACTTCACGGGGATGGCCCTCCATCTCCTGGGCTCTGGCGAGCGGAACAGGACAGGCACGGCCGGGTGACGCCGGAGCCACCCTTGTACAGACGCGGGAACCTTTGAGACCAAGAGGAGGCTGGTGTTTGGTGGAGGCGGTGGCTCGGGGGACCAGGAGGGAGGCCTGCCCGGAGCAGGCAAGCAGGTGCCCCCCTGCCTCCTGCTGCTCCCCACAGCTGTGTCCCTGCAGGTCACCTGACACATGAACAGGAGCGCGCTCTGTTGTCCGCCCACTCCCACGCCGCAGGGCTACGCTAGAGTCAGGCACGTCATCAGGCGCACCTGTGGCCGGCTCCTTAGGCCATGGAGCATGGGTTCACGTAGCTGCTTTACTCCCCAGGACAGATTCTGATTTCTGGTCCTCACCCCTTGAGCTCCCGGTGGATTATAACGGCATCTAGGGCGTCAAAGCTCTTGTGATTCTGCGGGGATCACGAGATTCTAAGTCCGTCATGGTGGCCTGGCCGGGGAGCAGGTCGAAAGGCGCCCGGAGGCCCACGGGCTGGCGCTCAGAAGAACTCCACGTGGCCGGACTCTGTAGCTGTGGGTTTGTGGTCCCGGGTCCCACTCCCAGGGCTCCGAGGGGCAGGCACTTGCTGGTTGCATGCTCTAGGGCATATGGCTTAGCTCTCCTGCCTCCATTTCCCCAACTGTAACATCAGCATGAATGGCCCCACCTTCCAGTTGTGTGTGGATTAAATGAGGCCATGGGTCAAGAGCACGGGGACGGGGCCTGGCAGGGTGTCCCCTGCTATTATTGGTATGTGTATCCAAAGGGCCGGAGACTTTGGGGTCAGGATTGCTTACGTCCCCAGTATTCCTGCCAGGCTAGCTGGAAGCGGATTTCAATGGAATTGGGCTCCATATGCTTGTGGGGTTTGATCTCCAAAAACATCTCTCCAAACGGGCAAGTGGTTCCTGAAATCTGACAGCAGGGGTTGATACGGCTGGGTGTCCCCAAGTCTGTGGATTTTTCTCCGGTCAGGCGGCTGGTGACGGCCTGAAGGCAGGGGTGCCCTTGGACCTGCAGGGCAGTGTAGCCACGGACCCAACCTGAGGACGCAACTCCTTTATAAAGTCCCGTCTGCCTAACAGAGCAGCTGCCGTGCCCTTCTGTCGCTGGACTTGGCTCATCGGCATCGCAAAGCAGTTGGGTTGGACATGGGGGACCCCGTGTAACCCCACGGTGAGAAGATTTGGGAAAGGCATTTGTGAGACTACAAGAAAGCCCTCATCTGTCGAAGCCGCCCCCTGCAACCTCAAGCGTACCTTAACCTTAGGTCCTGTAACTGAAGGGCATACCGGCTTCGGTCGTGCCGCTGGCGGGCTTTGCTCATGGGCCCGTCCCTTCCCGTCCATCCCGGGGCTTCATCTTTCATTCTGGGGGTACTGGGCAGCCTGATTAAGGATCCTTGTTCTATGGGGACTTACAGGACCTGTTGAGCTTGCCTGTGCCGGGTAACCGCCAGCAAGTACTGATTTGCACCTGCTGTGTGCACGTGCCGGGCGGGGGAGGCAGACCACAGCCGCTGGGCAGGCAGGGGTCCTGATGGCAGGGAGTCCGTGCCGCCACTAGCCATCGGCAAGGTCGCTTTGGCACCCCGCTGACTTCTCGAGAGCGACACACTCTTCCAACGCACAGCGTCCCTTCCTCCTGTGACAGACTTATCGTTGGGAAGACTTAGGTGGTTTCAACCCTTTCCAGTGAAATTGCTTTTTAGAAGTTGAGTCTGAAGCATTTTTGATGGCCGAGATTACCGTGGGACTCGGCACGTGCCCGATGGTTTGGTTATACCTGGACGTCGGGGCGGCAGACGCCGGGGAATGGGGCTCCCTTTGCCTGTAGATGGCACCGAGCAGAAGCCAGTCGTTCTGCCCCTTGACCCTGGCGGGCAGCTTCCTGGCTCTGTCCTTGCCATGTGGCTGGGTGTCTGGCTCTGTGACATTGCCCACCTACGTCTCGTGGCTTCGGGGCGGACACGCTGACCGTGCGCTCTGAGGGGTAGGAAGGGAAGGAGAGAGGCCGTCCCATGACGCGTCCTTCCATGAGCGCGTCCTTCCCGTGGACAGAGTGGGGGCTATCTCCACAAACGTATGTCCTGCTTTTAGGCAAATGCAGGGGAGAGCAGAGCTGTTTCTTGCGCTGCTGCTTCTTGGCGGCCTTCAGGGCAGAGTAATCCCGATGCCAGTGTGGCCTGTGTGGCCTTCGTGGGGTGGCCTGCGTGAGGTGGCACGTTCTGCTCCCGTCACCATGTTTCTTCGTGGAATGGACGCACTTTGCCATCACGTGTGTTTGTTGCCCCTCACCAGCTAGAGTATGACCCCGTTACGGCAAAATCACCATTTGGGACATCTATCTATCTATCTATATTTACGATTTTATTCTAGAATGTGTGTGAGGGGAGGGGTAAGTGGGCAGCACGAGATGGATGAATGGGGACAAAGTGGTGCTTCGTGCGTCCGAAGGACCCAGTTCTCAAATCCTGCTACACCCTGCGCAACAGTCACGACACGAGCGCGGGGCTGGCTGGGATGAGAGCTTCATGCTGCTGGGGCAGGTGGTGGGACCATGACAAAGGGAGGCGTCAGCTACTTCCCGGAGACTGCACAGCTGCCAGAGATCCCTGTTAGCTGAGCTCTGAGGTCACGGCTCACCGAGGTGCGGTCGGGGCGTCATCTCTGTGATCAATGACGGGGAGCACCTGTTCTTGCCACCTGAGAGTCGAGCCAGGACTCGGCGACTTACGCAGAGCTAAATAACTATTACTAAATGAAGAGGCTGAGTCAGGACCGCACACGCAGACACACAGTGCTAGACAACAAGGAGGGATGAGGAGAATCGTGGCCTCCGCGGTCAGACCTCTGAGGGAGCCGGCACCGAAGGGTTGCAGTTCCTACATCACATCACACCCCTTTCTCGAGTGGGAACAGACGCCACCAGCCTGGGCGCACAAACCGTTCCCACGCACTCCGTTTCGCACACGAGCGTTAGGAGCAAGGACGTGCCGGTGATGAAGAGAGGACATTTTTCTCAAGAGCAGCCTGATTTGCAAGCGTGTAAAGCTCGCAAGGGGATCCTTTCAACTTTAGAGCTTGGAGAAGTTTCTGGAATTTCTGACATTTGCAAATCTTAAGGACAAAAGATTGAGTCTCTGAATGCCCTGGGATGCTGGCTGGCTCTGTGGGAGGACTCGCTTGACAGATTGGTTTATTATTTGTGTATCTCCCCAACCCATTCTTATGTCCACGGGTGGTTCCCACCTCTCTCAGAAGCTGTGCACAGGTGGGAGGGAGGCCTGTGGCCCAAGCTTCGTGGCCCACCAGCCCAGACACGGATGTCACACAGGTTAGACGCTTGACAGTTATCCTCTTGGGAAACTGCCACCCAAGGCTGATTTCTTTCTCTCGTTGTCCACGTTGGCAGATCAGAAAAGAGCTCCGAAGCTTATTATGGATATTTAAGGAGAGACTTACGGGAAGCTTCCTGCCGGTGATGTCTTTCTGGCCTGCTGAGACCATCAGAGACTTGGCTGCTTGGCTTAGCCAAGTCTGTCACTTGATGTAATAAGCACAGTGCAGAGATGCGGTGAACTTTTTTTTTAATTAAACAGATAAAATATAGATGCTGGGGTTTATGTAGTCCTATAGAGAGACAGCTTGACCTTCTTCAACAGGAATTTACTTTTAGAAGGTATTTGGGTGATCATTTAGATAGAACCACAGTTGGAACGTTATTATAAAATGACTAAGCATAAACATCAGAAACACTCATTCCTTTTAAATGAACTCTTTCTGAGTCACGGTGATTCACGCTCCAGTCTTCATGACATCTGAACTTCTAGAATAGTCTTTCCCCACCCCTGCAGTGAATTTAGCGGCAAAGATGAGGCTTACCCGAATAGTCTCCTACCTAATTTAACAAGGATAGATTTCTCTTAAGACCATTGTCTTGTGGTGGCAATTCTTTTTCTAGACGGTAGAAAATCATTTCAAGAAGTATGTAGCGTTGAAAGCTTGCAGAATGTTTCTGAGGACCCACTGTCTTGTCATTTGGCGTGTTCAGATCCCTGTTTATTTCTTTCTGAGTTCTCTTACTATTTTGTCCTTTCCCCATGAGCAAGGTGAGGGGTTCACAGTCACCCAGCTCCTTTCTGGGCTCCTGACTTCAGAGCCACCTCTGGTCTGTCCCTGTCACTCACCACTGAGGCCAGCTCAGAGAGTGACCTGTTTGCTTTCACAAAAGCACCTGCCACCAGCCTCGTCCTCCCTACTGTAGGCACCCGTCCCCTACCTCCAGCATCTGGACCGGAGCAGCCTCCGTGTGGTGCATTCCTCTGCTCCCCACCTCTCAGGGTGTCTTGCCCCGGGAGACCCCCGGGCGTCCCATCACGCCCCCTATACCAAAGAGTCTCCTTGCCTCCATTCCTCAGGGCAGTGCCCAGCACATAGTAGCTGCTCAGTAAATGCATGCCTGGGGGAGCTGCCCTGCACAGACCCCATGTCTGACCCTCTGTGTCCTGCTGGAGCGCCTCCCCTCCCTCAGCCATGTTGGAACGATGCTGACCCATTGCAGTGCTTGGTCAGGTCTGGGCCAGGACCGTGGTCTTGAAGGGGACACCAGGAGGCCGCATGTCCGGGTTCCGGTTTATTAGATGGAATCCTAACCAAACGTACAACAGAAGGGTGTGGCCTTGGTACTCGTCACACTGTCAGGATGCGTCCCCAGCACCAGGAAGAGCACGGGTGCTGCCCGTCAGAGGTTCAAGATGACCTATTCATTCGAGGGGAACTGGGTGACCCCTGCAGGGCGGGGGGCTACTGTCTACGCCGAATGCACAGCAGATGTTTTCCCTGGGGACGTGCACATGTGGTCTCTGGGTTGCAGAATCCTGATTAATGTGACAAATGGATTTCTCTTTCTGCCCCCTTAAGGGAAGCCATCAGCCGTGTGTGTGAAGCTGTCCCTGGCACCAAAGGAGCCTTCAGGAAGAGAAAGGTACTGTGCCCCATGTCTTCTCCCTGTGTGACACCGTTAGTCACACCCCACCCATCAGGGCCCCCTTTCACCGCCTGGCTCTTGGCACTTCTAAAACAACAAGAACTTGGGGTCCCCTGCCATGCACTTGGGTGTCACTGGCCGACCCAAGTCAGCACCCCAGTTGCACCCTGTGGGCCTAAATCTGCAGAGAGTGATGAGAACAGTTGCATGAGACAGGGCCCGAGCTGCTCTAAGCATTTATGGACCTGAATTCACTTCACTAGAGCGCTTTTGTGACAGATGCCCATGCTGTGCTGGTAGATGTAACCAGCGGCTCTTGGGGCAGCGTAAGAAGCACCAGAAGTAGTGTTTGCCAGTTTCCATGGCGTATGTACTCCGCCTGGCCGCTTTCAAGCTCTAACGTGACATCCCTGAAGACGTGCTACCGCACATCCACGCACAAGGTCCCACCTGGTGCCCGGGTGCCGTGGACGCGAATGCCAGAGTGCACTGCACGGGTCCCACCTGGAGCCCAGGGGCGGTAGACGCGAATGCCAGAACAGCGTAGATGACCGATAATGTAGCAGAAACAGCCAGAATGTGACGAGTTTTGAGTACTGTCTTTTGTTTTCTAAGTGCAACTTCTTTCATTGTAACTTTATAGAAATTAGTTTTTCACAGCAGCTGCTTTTAAAGCCCAGCTTATAAAATTCCTGCCGACGTAAGTGTTGTCTCTCGTTAGCTGGTACTGCCCAGAGCACCTGGATAGCCCCATGTTACAGATGGCATAAACAGGGCACAGAGACAGAAAGCCACAGCGTGTGTAGGTGGTCGGCTGAGCTCAAGCCCGGGTCACTCGACCCCTGCACTCCGGGGTGCTTAGACCACAGAGAAAGATGTGGATGAAGAGAAAGCTGAGAATAACCCCCGGGGCCAAGTCTAGCGGGTGCCAACCACGTACCCACCGCCGGGCCCGTCTACACCTACACTCCGTCCGGGGAGCCTCTCTGCTGTCTCCGAGTCTGTCCTGAGGCTGAGGTTTGCAGGAGGGCGGCGTGTTTGCACCCACGACTCCCCGGGCTGCGGGTGGGTTTTGTCTTCCTGCCTTGGGGACATCGGTGGAGCCACAGGGCAGCAGGCTTTTGGGCGGAGAACTCTGGATCGTGAACCTCCCGTACAGTCACTGGGAGGGAGCCTGAGGGCCGGGATGGGGAAGCTCCCCTCTCAGAGCCCCTCGAAGGCGGTGGAAGTAAGGCACCACTGGTGTGACTTAATCAGAACTGGGGGTGGGGGGCGGTGTCTCTATTTCAAACAGCTCTGTCTCTGTCGGGAGACTAAAAGCAGGGTGTGCCTGGTGAAGGGCTAGCGTTAACTGGGGTATCAGAAGAGGACACGTGCTAATCTGAGCGGGAAGGAGAGTCCGTGGGCCCTGGACGGGAGGCCGGTGTTGGCAGTGCCTGGGGGAAGGGGCTTGGTGGGAAGACGCCATCCCTCGGACCCGTGCAAAGGACCCTCACTTAAGCTGCGTCAGACTGTGGGCCCAGCACGTTCTGCCTCTTGTGGGCTCTGGTCTGGAGGAAGCTCCAGCCGGCGGGCTTGTGCCCCACACCCCGCAGCAGCGAGCCGCCTCGAGACTCCCCAGGACACTCTTCGCCCCCTGCGCTGGGCCTTCTTGCTCTGGCCCAAGTCCTTTAACCCCCGGTGGGACGACATTGATTTCTGGGCCTCACAGCTGCAGGTGCTGGTCTGTGGCACTTGCCCCAGGCTCGGGAGGGACAGGAGACGCGTCCGCCTGTGCGCTGGAGCTGTTACCGCTGCCTGCTGCGTGCTGCAGAACTCGTGCATCGGTGTTGGATCCCCTCCCCACCCCAGCTCGTGCGTGGCACAGTCTCCTGCCCGAGCCTCTGAGCATCGAGGGGGCGGGAGGGTGGAGGTTTGGAGGTGTGGCCCACAGGAACCAAGAGAGGCCTCGACGACTGGAATCAAAACCTAAAATCCCACTGTTTGATTTCACAGCCTCCCAGCAAAATGCTGTCCAGCATCCTGGGCAAGACCAACCTGCAGTTTGCGGGGATGAGCATCTCGCTGACCGTATCGACAGCCAGCCTGAACCTGCGGACGCCCGACTCCAAACAGGTGTGTGGGCACTCGGCGCCCCGCCCCCAGCACCCCAGCTTCATTCATCCGTCTGCCCCGCACCAGAGGTGTTGAGATAAATTCTAGATCCAGCATAGAAACAAGAGGCAACGTCTGGGCTTTGTTTTGACGCCTCTCCCTCCCGCCCTGTAGATAATCCCTGTCTTTCACGCTGGTCCACCGACCGGTGGGGGGACTGCCATTTAGTGGTGGGCTAGGAGGGTTCAGCAGGCTCAGCCTTTCTCTGGGGCTGTCTTGGGGCTGAGCACCTGCGACCCAGGCTGCAGAGGCCCTCGCTCTGCACAGCGGCAGAGGAAGGAGGGTCCCCTTGGCCCTGAACCACGAGTCCCTATTCACGCTTCCATGGTGCATGGCTGCTCCCAAGTTTCTAGGGATGCTCAGGCCATGCCCTCCGTCCTGTGGGACACGTCTCCTAGTCCCCTCTTCTCCCTCAGCCCTCCCTTAAAAAAGCAAACTGAGGAAGAGCAGAAAGGACGGGGACTGGTTGGCCAGGTCCGGTCCTCACTGTCTGTGGAGGGTGGGTGTGGGGCTGGGCTCGGAAGAGGGAGGCACCCTCCCAGACGACAGGACCGCGGCCCAGGATGGTTGGCGTGTCCCAGCCACATCCCCTGGCTCTCCCGTGGCGGAGTGTACGCGGGCTGGCCTCACTGGGTGCTCCCCGCCCCGTGCAGAGCGACCATGAAAGGGTCCAGTGTTCCCCTCTGAGCGCTCAGAGAGGAAATCACCAGAACCCCACGAGGATGGAAAAACCGCTCGCGGTTCACCACCTCCAGAGCTGTTGCTCTCCGTTTAATTTCCATCTCACCCCAAGGGCTGAGAACAGCCACACAGTAACGGTCAGGCATCGTGGCGACCAAAAACGATTTCCCTTTCTTCCCGAGTCCTAACATCCATGTCAATTCCAAACCCCAGTATGCGAGCTGCCCCGTGAGCAAAAACTAAACATGCAACAATCAACACCTTTTAGAAGTTTATCCTCACTTGGGGATTGCTGCTGGTCGCTGCCGTCCTGGGGGCTCCTGCCGGGGGACGGGAGGCACGAGGGTTCCGGAAGGCTGCACGCGGCTGCAGGGGGTTAGACCGAGGGGGCTCCGCAGGGGCTCCGGGCCCAGCCTCCTTGTTTCTATCCAGTTATCTGCTCGGGTCTTTCTAGATCCCAAGCGGTTTTGCAAGTGCCAACAGCCCAAGGAGGCATTTTAAACTGTCTGATTTTCTCTCAGCGCGGTCATTGTCTTGGTTCGAGAGTTACAGGAATGTGGCTGGGAGGCCCCCGGGATGGTGGGGGCCTCTGTAATTTCCCCTGCCTGCTGCGGGGAGCCATCCAGAGATAACGCTGGCGGTGCTGGGGTGGGGTTAGGACCGCTCTTTCCACCCCTGGAATTTACTTCAGGGTCATTACATTGTCTTCAAAATGATGAAAATAGTGATAAAAACAGCAGGGAAAACTTACATAGCTTTTTCAATTTAGGGCAGCTTCTAATTTACTCAGTGTGTCCTGAATCCCACCGCGAGCTGCCATTCACGATGCTAATGGAATGTCCCAGTTTAACATTAACTTGGAATGTCCTCTCTGGCCTTTCAATTGATCCCACTGATTCCTGGAGTGCCCGAGACGGTCCCACGTTTAACGCGTGCTGTTTGATTTGTACACACGCGGGATTCAAGCAGGTGACAGTTCTCCCCTCTGTGCTCACTGCGGGTCTGGGCGGCAGGCCGCGTGGGTCTCTGAAGACAGACACTGCACCGTGGATGTGCCTCAGTGTGGGGGTCAGAGACCCCCATGTGTGGTCCCAGTGCTGCCCATGGTCCGCTGTCGCCCCTGGGCCTCAGGCTCGCCGTCTGTAAAGCTGGAATCCCTCCTTCCTCCCTTGAGGGCTGCCGTCAGACCCACGTGACCTGGTTCTGGCTGAGTGTCTGGAGCAGCAGCATCTGTGTCGGGAAAAGCCCACTACAGGGGAGCCGCTGACCAGAGCAGGTGCTGACGACGTGTCTCGTTTCTTGTTCTGGGCAGATCATTGCGAACCACCATATGCAGTCCATCTCCTTCGCGTCAGGGGGAGACCCGGTAAGTGCCTGCGCTGGGAATGCCCCAGAAGGGGCCTAGCGTCAAGGGGTGCCTCTTAGCACACGCCTGGGAAGGGTAACTGGGATGCCAGCTGCCCCCTCCTGATGCCATAAGCTCTTCTCGACACCCACCAATTTTCACTTCATCAGCCCAAAGCTGTCCAAAATCCTCCAAATGTTGGCTTTGTGAGGGTTTTCTGAAGAGCTCATGGGACCAGACCCAGGCTCCGAGTCCTCAGGGTTTCCCGTCTGGTGACTGAGAGTCCTGCCTCGTTCCTTTTTTTCTGTTGGGCCTCCTCGAGGGCCTTCTGATTTCCTATTTGAAGTCAACTGGAAGGCTGTGAATTTACTTAGTCTGGTTTATTCATAGATGTTTGGAATTAGAATTTTTCTCCCCAAATTTAATGCTGTCATCTTACTGGTTTGCTTTGCCAGCAGGGAAGGAGGCAGAGAGAGAGAGAGAGCGGGATGAGAATGTTCTATTTTTGTATTGCTTCTTTCATTAAGAAGGTGGGGTCACAAGGGAATTTGCTCCCTACGTTTGGTGAGGAACACTACGAGGTGGTGTCCGTGCTCAGTTTCGGAGTCATCAGAAAGCCTCCACTTCCTTCTTTTCCTCCTCCTCCTCTTCCTCCCCCAGAGCCAGCATCGGCTCTAATCGAGTTACAGGTGCTCTAACTGATGGCCCAATATGATGCTTGGGGCCACAGTTTCTGAAATTTGGGAGGCAACCCAGCTTGAAAAGTAAGAGGAAGAAAGAGAACACAGCTGCGGCAACAGATCCTTCCAAGAGCTTGTCTTAAACCTCATCTAATGCTGATATCAGAAGGGGACACAAAGAGATGGAAAATTCTGGAAGCCAAATACACAGGATGAACACAGGCCTGTGAGCTGCTTTCGTATTTCCTCATCATCTCATCATTTAAAAGAAAAAAAAAGGAAGCATTCAGTGATGCTTAAAGAAATTCATAACATTTTAATATTTTTTTCTGATGCAGAAAATGTCACTAGGAGGACCAGAAACCCTGTTACTTTCCACTGTAACCAATCAAATATGTGTCCGTGCTGTGCATGAGTTCCCACTCCAGACCGGCTTGTCACCATTATAATTGGTGGACGTTTGACTAAAACTAACAATTCCAAGTTGTATTCCTGGTTTGGCCACTAAGTGTGTATCTGTTTACTACTTTGTGCTTTGGTTTACGCAGTAAGGAAATAGCATTTTGAAATATCAAATAAGACAGTGAAAATGCTGTTAATCCAAATGCCCCAAGAGGTGCACAACAATTTAATCTACTGTGATTAACAGTGTTCCAAGGCCCCTGAGGAGTGTCAGAATGCCGGCCAGGCTCAGAAAGTCTAGGGGAGCAGGGACAGGGACAGGATGGGCACAGGACAGGCACCTGGAAACCCCATCTCGGAACCTGGGGTGTTCAGTGTGTGGCCGTGTGATGTCTAGAAAAATGTTCTGAATAACAATACACACCCTCCCCACAGTGTGCCAGAAAACTATCAATATTGACATTAGAAGAGCTTTGCTCTGGGTTCACCACAAACCATCTGAGGGATGGGACACATGTCACAGCTCTTTCCTGGCCTTCCTTCCCCAGAGCAGCATTTCTCGGACTGGAGTAAGGATTTCAAAAGAAGAATTTCCTTGCAAATGCCACTAGTGCTGACTCAAATTGATTTTGTTACCCAAATATGCACAAATATAAATCCAGTATTGACTCCTGTTTCAACTTCTTATTGAGCACTAAACCCCAATCCAGTTCACTTTTAATACTGATAAACACAATAAAGCCGACAACATTCAAAGTTACATTAATTTGCTCTGATGGATGGTTTTGCTGACGCTGGATCTCTGCTCTCAGTGAGCCTCTGGAACCGGCCACCACGGTGCAGGATCCTTCAAGGTCAGCAGCTCTCCACTACCTCGGGCGCCTGGATGACTCAGTTCTTCCACTAATATATTCTATTCAAGCAAGCCCTTCAGTGATACATCATTATGTGTAAATGTGACACTCATTGCTCGAGTTGGGGCAAAAGCATCTAGCCTGAGTGTTCTTTTTTCTCTAGTTCTTTATAAACCTGGCACCTGTAATATCGGAAACCCGACAGACAACCTTGGCACTGACATCGCACACAGAACTGACACCACAGTGGTCATTCGGATGGTCCTGGATATTCTTGTATTAATTTTTATGATTACCATGGAAATGAAAACACGAATTAAAAAAAACTCTGATGCCTTCTCAGACAAGGGGGAATGTACCTGCCCAGCTTCAGGGTTCCATGGATCTCAGACGAGAACACAAGTGCTGTCATAGGACCCTTTGCGACAGTTAGCCCCTGAACCCATGAAAAACATCTGTGGCTCCGAGCTGCAGAAGACCTCAGATCCTGACCAGATCTTCCTGGACAGAAATGACCGGAAGCCATGTCCACATCCTTTCCAGCTCAGTCTATGAATATACCAGTGGGCAGTGGGCAGTGGGCAGAGCAGGCGGACGGAACAGTGTAGGCAGGCCGCATGCCACAGGGCCCCGGGTTGCAGCCCGTCATGTCAGAAGCTGCTGGGAAAGCCTTCACTGTGAACTCTGGGAAACGGCATGCGGACAGGGCCCAGCACCTGGCGCCACCTGCAGTGGGGGCTCGTAACCCCTGCACGCCCTCACACGCTCTGTCCTCACCCCTCCCGTCAGAGCATTTTCCTGGAGCACCACAGAGAGCGAGAAGGCGGGGTGTCCTGCCCACAGAGAGAAATAACGGAGGAGCTCACGACGCAGAATCTGTCGGATGCCGAACTCAGCGGGAGCTCGTCGTTAACTCTGGCACCTTCGAAGCAGTGACATTTGGGAAGTATCTGCCAGAATGGGTGAACCTTTACCAGTTGCCCCCCTGAGACTTCTTTGAATGTTGCAAATGTCACCTTTGCGGGGACGACTTTTCTGTTTTGAAGAGTGAAGAGAATTATGTTTCCTCAGCTGGTTTAGAAACGAAAACCCCCGTGGCGGCCCCAGCCCACGTCTGAGTTCAGAGCGTCCTCCGGGCTGCCAAGCAGACTCGCGTGTCCCCTGCAACAGCCAGACTACTCCACAGAGCTCGTGTGTTGGACCGTCTTAAAAGGATTCAAATTACTGCTCTGGTCTGGGAGGAAAAGAGCTGTCACGTCTCATCCACCCACGAAGGCATTTGCCACCAACTCCTGCTTTCCCCGTGGCCTCTAGCCCAGCAGCACCAGCATCAGCTGGAAATTTGTCGGAAATGCACATTTGGGGTCTCACCTCAGACCCACAGAATCAGAAACCCTGAGGTGGGCCCCGCAGTCTGTTTCCACAAGCCCCAGAACAGAGGCCGCGGCCAGGTCGGACCGAGGACGGCCGCTGGGCAGAGCTGAGGGCCGGGCTTGTCAGCCTCCATCGGGAGGTCCGGGGATTCTTGCCCACGGAGGCTGGAGGAACGCGTCTGACCAGGCTGTTTGCGCCCCGAGCTGGTCTGTGCGTTGTGTGTCTGGCTGTGACTAGTGACGGGGTGTCTCGTTTCTCTTTGACAGGACACAACAGACTATGTGGCATATGTGGCGAAGGACCCCGTTAATCGCAGAGGTAAGCGGCGCCCGAGGCTCGCGGTCTCTTGCTCACATGCGGCCGGGCCTGAGGCAGGGCACCAGGTGTTCCTCACCATCTCCGCACCCTTCGCCAATGCGAGCGTGCGCCCCGTTGTGCTACTACCGACAGCGGAGGTGTGTGGGCAGTCCGGTGTGGCAGCATAAGTGGCCGGGCTGGGAGGCCCTGGACGACCGTGAGCATCAAACACACAGCTGCTCGCAGACGGCTGCGGCTTGGCGCACCTGGACCGCACATCGCAGATCCCACGCAGGCCTTGGGCCAGGTGGCCTCTGTGACACTGGGGCCGCTCCACAGCCTGCCTCCCCTCCCGCCCAGCTCCAGGTCCAGCTCCGTGGCCAACTCCGCCATCCCAGAAGCTTCCGTGGCCCTGCACAGTCCTGGGGCTCAGGGGCGAAGCTCACTTGCTGTCCCCTCACAGCCCGCAAGGCTGCCAGGGCCTCGGACACAGGCTGGGTGGGGGATCTGAGGCATCTGAGCACTTTCCATCCTCCTAGACCCTTTATTCCTAGACCCTACCTCCACACCCACAACCCCATTCCTTCTATCAAGTACAAAAGCCAAGCCCCATCCACGGGTGCTAGCGGCCTGGGGGGCAGGCTGAGTACCCGCGCCACCCTTGAACACGGGTCAACCCACAGCCCATGCGTAGAACCGGCGGAAGAAGGTCACAGCTGGTGTTTGTAGCAATACAAAAGGGGGCTTCCTCACTGCGCCCGGGGTCCCCTCTCCTCCCACCCTCGGCCCCAGGTACCACCTGTTAATGGTTCCCAGTTTGCTTTACAGGACTTTTATCCACGCACATACACATACATTCTCTAATGTTAAAACTCCAGTGTGAATGAGGTCCTAGCATTTGGCCCCTCCCGCATGCTGTGTCTTGGACACGTTTCCACGACAGCCCACAGGGAATAGGTTACTGTCCGTGAGGGGGCGCCCTAGGACGAGACGCTTCTGCCAGGGGTACCGACCCCCAGGAGTCCACGTACAGACTCCTTCCCTGTTCTTATCCCCGATGTAGGGCGGCCCCTTCTAGAGGCATTTGCAGGGAGGTTTGCTGGTGGGTAGGTCAGTGTACCTTTCAAGTCACCACCTAGTCAGGTTGTAAACATTTGGGTTCCCGTCTAAGTGCATGCATGAGGGTGATTTTCTATCCGGCCTCCTCCTACCCTGGGTTAGTCCGCAGAGGTGTGGCAGGGCTACCTGCCTTCCTCGAAGTCAGAGATGACGGGATCTTACGGAGTTAGCCTTCCTCTCCCGCACGCGTATGTGTCTGGGGGGGGCCCATAGGTGAGTGCGATTCTCAGTTCTGAACCACAGGGTGGGGAATCACAAAGCTTTGTGCTCAGACAAGGAGGAGGTATGGGTGGTCCTGATGAGCCCCCCGAGTGGGACCGCCCCCGAGACCCCTCACCGAGCCATGGAGCCCACACCTCTTGACCTTGCCACGGTTTCTCTGTGCTTGGAGGAGGGTGCCACGCTAGCCTGCTCCTCCCCGGAGAGGCTGCCTTACCGGTTCGCTGGGGCTCCTGCTCAGTACGACATAAACCCGGCCAGGATACCCGAGAGCAAGGTGCTGGAAGGGCCCCTTCCGAGGCCTGTAGGGGGACCCTTCTGGCCTGGCCTAGCTCCTGGAGGTGCCCTGGCCAGGCTGGACGTCCAGGCTGGTGGCCGGGTGGCCCCAGCGCCCAGTCTTCACGCGGCCTCTGCCCTGAGTGCGTCTCCATCTGCACCTGGCCATCTGCTTCTAAGGTCTCTGGTTACCCTGGGTTAGGCACCCCCCATCTTCCAGCCTGACCTCCGCTCCATGGCAGTTAAGTACCGGCCAGTCAGACAGGTGTGAGATGACTTTCTAAGAGTGGCAAGCCCGCCTCAGGGCCCGGGAGGCACAGTGCACTCCTCATCTGTGCGGGGGAGCTGGACCTCGAGCCCGCACGCACCCCTGATCTACAACACTGAGCAAGGCGGAGGATGCGGAGTCCCCAGACGACAGCGTTGGCCGGAAATGGGGCTGGAGTGCTGGGGGCGGGGTGTGGCTCCCTGGCGAGGGCTCACTAGTTCAGGGCTCCTCCCAGGGAGCTCGGCGAGGGAGCGGAGCCCGGAGACGTGGCTTGTGTCCGCATCAGCAAGCTCTGCCGCCCTCTCGTACCTGACCGACAGGCCCTCAGCCAACAGGGAGCTTCCCCCGCAGCTCTGCCCCTTGCACATGTCCCCAGAACCAACTTAAAGAGGGCCGCGCCCAGGCTTCCGGCTTCATGCCGGGTAGACTAGTGTAGACTAGTGGACCCGCAGGTGGATCCGGCGGCGGCTCTGCAGAAACCCCGTCCTTCCTTCACCATGGCTGCTGCTCTGCTTTTCAGAAAGAGGGGAAGCTGCTGGGTTTTGACCCTTCCCCAGCCTACCCATCTCTAAAGTGCCGACCTGGTAGCAGGTGCAGACTGGATGCGGGTGTGCTTGGCTGGAAACGGGCAGGTGGGGACTGGGGTGTCCCCCTCCTCCCACCCGGGCCCCTGCCTCCTTACGGGCAGGAGGGCACCTGCACTCGCACTGCATCATGCACAACCATGTGCCTCTAATAGCAACGTAATACGGCCTTGCTCTGTGTATCTGGGTTGATGTTTAATAAAAACCAGTATCAACAATAAAAGTAAAATAATAGCAATAATCAACAATAAAAATACAACCAGCATCTGTGTCCTTGGGACACACGTCTTGGCCATCCCTAGCATTCTCAGGGGCTTGCACTGAGATCTGGAGCCGCTATACTGTCATGCTGCTCTTTTCAAGGTATCCTGTGTCCTTAGGGCACCCCCTCCCGCCTGCGGGGTCGGAGGGAGAGAAGCCTGAGGCCCTCAGGATTGGCAGCGGCTGTCCGGGAGCTGTCTGGGGGAGCTCCACCGAGCCCGGCTGGCTTTGTGCAGCCAGAGGACAGTTTGGTGGTGTCGCAGGTACGGGGACAGCTGCCCCTGTGCAATGCTTAGGTCTCGCTCTTTGAGAGCTGGGTTAGGTCCAGTCCCAGGGCCATGGGGCCCTGGCGGGCTTCGCTTCTTGTTAGATCAGGTTCTCTGACCCATCAACGTTTCCTTCCAAACCGTGGTTCTCTCTGCTGGGCTCTGAGTTGGTATTTTATAGACTGTTAAGAAATTCTTAAGAGCAATCCATCTGAAATTTAAAATGTTAAAATGTGTTTACAAATAGAACCGTTAGTTTAAGGGAGCAGAGCCGTTAAGAGAGGCATCCTCGTGCTGGCATCTTACAGCAGTGGCATGGGGACCAGGTGTGCTGGGGGACCGTCCATGAGGGACATGCACCCCTCCCGTGGCCAAGCCTGGTGGCCCCGGTGTCTCTGAAAAGCCTGTGCCACTGTGTCCACAGCGTGTCACATTCTGGAGTGCTGCGACGGGCTGGCCCAGGATGTCATTGGCTCCATCGGACAGGCCTTCGAACTCCGCTTTAAGCAATATTTGCAGTGTCCTTCCAAGGTGCCCGCATTCCACGACCGGTGAGTAGTGCTGTGATACCCTTCGCAGTGGCCTTTCTGTATTTTACAAACTTGCCTCTCGACATCACTCGAGAGGAGAAAATCACAAAATGACCTCCACAGGGTGTGGTCTGGACACACATGGTTGGTCACAGGGCCCCAGGCTCAGAGGCACCTGGCGGGGCCAGGCTGCGGCTCAGGAGCCCCACAGATGGAGGCCGACATATGGGCGATGCTGTGAATGTTGAGGAAAACATTTTCTAGAAACTATAGAGACGGTAGCCAAGGTTACAGAAATGCATTGTAATAGGTTTTGTGCCATTTCCTCTGCAACCAGCTGAGGGTCCTGTGTGTTTCCTCCTTGCGTCTGCATGGCACAGGTGTGACACATTCCTTGTCTTCGCTGTTGTAGTTAGCATGGCCATGACGCGCGGCCCCTCCTCGAGGCCCTGAGCTGGGGCAACTTGGGGACTCAGAGCCTCCTGTGCCCTGGGCACACACGTCCGTAGCCAGGATGAGCCTTGGCAGCTCTCTCTGTGGGAACGGCACAGCCTGACGCTCATGTCTGATGAAAGATTAAACACGAGGAGTAAACCTTCTCCTTGGGAGAGGTACCACCGAGCTCCTGGGGACAGAAGAGCATTCAGCGCAGCATAAAACATCCAGAGAAAGTGACGGGGTCATGGCGATGGTCTGTCCTTGATTGGGCTTGCCTCCTGAAAGCCTCTTCTGATGCTGTGTTCACTGTCCATGAAACCTTATTTCTCCCGAATTTGCTTTCCACTCTTGCTCCAACGTCTGCAGCCCCGTTTTGTGGCCTCCTCGTGAAGGCAGTGTCTACTTTTACTTTCATTATCACGAAGGCTCCTCTCTTCCCTCTGAGCTTGCTCCCTTTCGTGACTGACGCTTTTTTTTTTAAGATTTTATTTATGTATTTGACAGAGAGAGAGAGATCACAAGTAGGCAGAGAGTCAGGCAGAGAGAGAGGGGGAAGCAGGCTCCCCGCTGAGCCAAGAGCCCGATGTGGGGCTCAATCCCAGGACCCTGAGATCATGACCTGAGCCGAAGGCAGAGGCTTAACCCACTGAGCCACTCAGGTGCCTATGACTGACGCTTTTAATCCACTCTCTTATCTCCTGGGAAGTGGCTTTTAAGACACCCGTAGGGGAGATGCCTGGTAAGACCCCAATTTTTCCCAGTTGGTAAATTCCACGTCCCAGAATTCAGACACACCCGTGTGCAGGGAGTGGGGACAGAACGTGGCCGACTGTGTTTTTATACTCTTTATACACACCCATCTATCCATTAACTGTACACACTGAATAGAAATTTGATAGTTCACATCCTCTTCTGCCGATTTTAAGTTTTACATACAATGGGATGTAGTCATTAAAGTAGATTGGTATATGTGTATTACCAGAATAAATCTCAAAAATCTTAAAAGGAGTGAAAAAGTATAAGAAACATTTATGGAAGTATTAAAACCATAAATAAAATTGTGCATGTAGTTTATGGATAAAAGCGTGTGTACAAAGAGTACAAAAACATGTAAGATTATTACATACCAATTACATACACAGCATCTGAGGACCAGGCGGTGATGCGGCGGGATTTAACTCTGTCAGGTGTCTCCTCCCTGACGCTTCACAGGGAAAATATTCCAACGTCCAGAAAGAATTTTCCAGTGAACATCTCCTAGATTCCACTATTCACATTTTACTGTTAATTTGCTATATCTATCCTTCCAAAGTAAGTTTAACACATTTTATTTCCTTTTTAAAAAAGGAAGCAAACAGAGCAAAATGTTCACGCTTGTTTAATCTCCATGGTCTTTTATATTAATTGCTATGCTTTTCTGTACTTTGGAAATGTTGCATCAAAGTCAAATAAATAAATGAAAAGTAGGTACAAAATTGCGTGTGGGAGTTGCCTTGCTTCTCTGGGAGCGTACCGAAGGTAGGAATTTTTCTCTAGAATTTTTTTATATCGAGTTTGAAAAAGTTTTGGGGAAAGACAGTGAAGTAGATGCGATCTTGTCTGTGGAGAAAGGCTTCGACTCCAAACACAAGTACGGGCATACCATTTCTAAAGCATACAGGAACGAGGGGACCCGACTGACACCCACGTGACCTCATCTGACAAGCTACTGGTCACATCCACTGAGCAGGTCTTCGAGCACGGGAGGGGTGGGGACGCTACTTTTGTTCTAGCTGGGGACAGGTGGTGCTGTGAGCCTCCGCCCCCCCACCTCCGTCCTGGGACCTGACTCTAGGGGGCAATGGCTTGTTTTTCTCCTGATCTGCCAAGATCCCAGGGACCAGCAGCACAGAGGCTTCTGTTGGTGGGGAGTGCTCCTTGGGTTTTCATCTCACTCCCTCAAGCCAAGTCTCTCCAACTTGGTTAATAAGAGCTAGAGGTATGAGAATTTGGTGCCTCGAGCTCCTTCGCCCACACGACTTGGAGCGGAGACATGGACAGATGGGCGTGGAGGGAGTGGGGCAGTGTTGGAGCCCACCAGGCTGCCCCGAATATCTCAGTAACATGTTTGCAGCACACGATTCGCTTTCTTCTCTTGGGGCTGGTGAGTGGATGGCTTTTTTTGTGAATTATTTCTTGTTCATTGTATTCATTATTGGGGGAGAGACTCTCATTTGGATTCAGCACCCATTTCCAGCTGGAAATCAAAAATAGTTCTTTCAAATGAATGGGGATTTTTTTTGGTGTGGTCTGATTTTCCTTGGGAGATTTTTTTTTCCCTGTGATATTTCTTATGGAAATCCAAGGTCATTTTCAACACAAAACCAGAGAAGACCATGACAAACAATTCAAATGTAGCTAATGCTCCCTGTTCTGCTTTTAAAAATTAATATATAATTCATTTGTGATAAAACACAAATAAAACTCTTGGATAAGACTCTTGGAAAGCATCTAATTTAGAGATACTTCACATGTTCAGAGATGATACAAGCACATTTCCATCATCTCAGGCCCGTGACCAGTCACCTCCATTTTCTCCCCTTTCTCCCCCTTCTCCCCGGGCAACCACTAATCTTTCTGTCTTCGTGGATTTGCCAGTTTGGGGCATTTTGTATAAATGGAATCATACAGAGTTCCGTGAGTGGTTTCCTTCACTTAGGAGGATGTTTTCCAGATCCGTCCACATTGTAGAATTTACTAGCACAGCCCTTCTTAGGGCTAAATAACCCTCCACTGGACACCTCTACCTCTTTTCAGATGGCCATTCTTTATTTTGTCCCCATTTGTCTGGGACCACCCCTTAGCTCGGGTGAGTTATGCTGCTGTGGCGCTGTGGCCAGTCCCAGTGTGGACAGAGTGCTCAGCACTCCAAGTAAACACCAGGGACTGCAGTTGCCAGATCACGTGGTAACTTTATGCTAATCTCTTTGAGAAACTGCCAACTTTTTTTCAAAGTGACTGTAGCTTTTTATACCTCCACCAGCAAAGTGTGAGGGCTCTAATTTCTCTATGTCATTTTGATGACAGCTATCCTACCTTACCCTGACTGTGATTTTCTTTTTTTTTTTCTTTTAAAGATTTTATTTATTTATTTGACAGACAGAGATCACAAGTAGGCAGAGAGGCAGGCGGGGCGGCGGTGGGGGTGGCGGGAAGCAGGCGCCCTACTGAGCAGAGAGCCGGATACTGCGGGGCTTGATCCCAGGACCCCAGGATCATGACCTGAGCTGAAGGCAGAGGCTCAACCTACTGAGCTACCCAGGCACCCTGGCGTGATTTTCATTAGCATTTCCCTGATGACCAATAATTAAGCCATTTTCATGTGCTTATTGCCTATTTCTGTGTCTTCTTTGGAAAAATTCCTGCTCAGATCTGTAGCCCATTTATTGACGTAGGAGTTCTTCATATATTCTGGATACTAGTCCCTTTCCAGATATATGATCAACAAGTATTTTCTCCCATTTCATGTGTTGTCTTTTGTTTTCTTGAGTGTCCTTTAAAGTACAAGGTTTTTAATTTTGATGAACTCCAGTTTGCTTATTTTCTTTCTTCGGTTGCTTTTGTTTTTGGTGTCATGGGTAAGAAACCATTGCCTAATCCACAATAGCCAAAATATGAAAAGAGCCCAGATGTCCATTGACAGATGACAGATAAAGAAGATACACACACACACATGTGCGCACACATGTGCGCGCACGCGCACGCACACACACACACACGCAGAGGAATATTATTTAGCCATCTAAAATAATAAAATCTAGCCATTTGCAGTGATATGGATGGAACTAGAGAGGATTATGCTAAATGAATATGTCAGAGAAAGAAAAATGCTATATGATTTTACTCATATGTGGAATTTAAGAACAAAACAGATGAACATAGGGGAAGGGAAGGAGAAATAAAATAAGATAAAAACAGAGAGGAAGACAAACCATAAGAGATTCTGAACTCTAGGAAATAAAGTGAAGGTCTGGAGGGGAGGTGGGGGGATGGTGTGACTTGGTGATGGGCATTAAGGTGGGCATGTGATGGAATGAGCATTGGGTATTGTATCACTGAACTCTTCCTTTGAAACTAATAATACACTATATGTTAAACAAATTGAATTAAATAAGAAATTTAAATTAAAAAAATAAATGGATGAGGTTAATTGGCACAAAAAAAGAAACAATTGCCTTATGCAAGGTTACAAAAATTTATACCCATGTTTTCTTCTGTTTTACTTGTTACATGTTTACATGTTTTACTTCAGTGCCTTTTAATTTCTTCTTATTATATAATTTCTTTGGCTAGAATCTCCAGCATAAGGGTGACTAGAAGTAGGAAGAGGGGACATTCTTATCCTGTCCTGACCTTAGGAAGAAAACACCACACCCAATCTCTCACCATTAACCATTGGTTAGCTATGGACTTCTCATAGATGTCCTTTATTGTGAAAATGTCCCTTTATTCAAAGTTTATTGAGTATCTTTGTCATGCAAAGATGTTGGATTTTGTCAAATGCTTTTTCTGTGTCTATCGAGATAAGTATTTGGTATTTGTTTTTATTCTATTGATATGATATATTACAACAGTTGACTTTGAAATGTTGAACCAACCTTGCATCATTGGGATAAATCCCACTTAGTTATGGTGTATAGTTCTTTTTATATGTTACTGGGTTTAGTTTGTATTTTGTTAAGGATTTTTTTTTCATCCATTTTCATAACAGTTATTGGTCTACAGCTTTCTTTTCTTGTAATAACTTTGTCTGGTTTTGGTCTCAGGATAATACTGGCCTCATAGATTGAGTTTGGAGATATTCCTTCCTTTTGTATTTTTCAGAAGAGTTATAAAGAATTGCTGTTAACTCTTCTTTGCATGTTTGATAGAATTCACGAGGAAGCCATGATTCAGAGCTTTTCTTGGAGTATGAGGTTTTTTTAATTGTCACTAATTCAGTCTCTTTCCAGGTCTATTTAGATTTTCTATTTCCTCTCTATAAGTTTTGGTAGTTTGAGTCTTCGTAGGAATTTTGATATTTCGTCTAGGTCATCTAGTTGGTGTAGTTACCTATAGTTTCTCGCATCTTGGGTTTTAAGTTTGCCTGCGTAGTTAACTTTGCCGATATTCTCTGTTTGCTCATATAGATATGTGCTTCTGTTTAGTGCTTGATTTCAGCCTGAAGTAACTCCTTTAGTATCTCTTATAGGGAAGATCTGCTGTAATGAATTTTCTTTGGTTTTTATCTGGGAATGTCTTAATTTTTGCTTCATTTTCAAAAGATAGTTTTACTGGATATAGATTTCTTGGTACACAGTGTTTCTTTCTGTACTTGGACTATGCCATCCCATTGTCTTTTGGCCTCAGTTATTTCTGAAGAGAAATTAGTTATAATATTAGTCAGGATCTCTTGCATGTGATGAGTGGCCTCTCCCTTGCTGCTTTCAAGTTTCTCTCTTTTTGGCTTTAAACGGCTTGATTATGATGTGTTAAGGTATGGAGCATTTTTAGTTTATCCTTTCTGGGGTATTTTTTCTGTTTTTCACTCCTTGGATGTGTAAATCAATTATTTTAATTAAATTTGACAAGTTTCTGGCCCTGAAGTCTTCATGTGTCCTTCCAGACCCTTTCTATCCCTCCTCTTTTGGGAATCCCTCATGTGTATGTTGGTTTGCTTAATGGGGTCTGTAGGTCTCTGAGGCTCTGTTCATTTTTTTTAGTTTTTTTTTTCTCTCTGTTTCTGTGATTTGATAGTCTTAAGTGACCTATCTTTAAGTTCTGTCATTCTTTCTTCAGTCTGTTCACATCTGTTTTGAGCTCCACTACGAATTTTTTTTTAAAGATTTTATTTATTTATTTGACAGACAGAGATCACAAGTAGGCAGAGAGGCAGGCAGAGAGAGAGGAGGAAGCAGGTTCCCTGCTGAGCAGGGGGCTCGATCCCAGGACCCTGAGATCATGACCTGAGCTGAAGGCAGAGGCTTTAACCCACTGAGCCACCCAGGTGCCCCTAAATTTTTTATTCCAGTTATTAACATTTTAAATTATAGCCTTTCTATTTGGTTATTTTACAAAATTACTTCTACCTCTATTTTGATATTCCGTATTTGGTGAAACAACAGTCTCATGTTTATTTTTTGTTGATGATTTCTTTTATTCCATATTAAAAGTAGCCAATTTAAAATCTTTATCTCATTAGTCCCCAATTTTAGTTTCCTCAAGAAAACTTTCTGTTGATAGCATTTTTTCTTGCATATCAGCCATGCTTTCTTATTTCTTTACATATTTTCTAATTTTTCATTGAAACTGGAAATCTTAAATAATACAATAGCAAATTTTGAGAAGCTCACCTCCTCAGGATTTCTTGTTGCTGCTGTTTGTTATGGCTGTTTGTTTTAATGACTTTTCCAAGAAAACACTGTAAAAATCTGTATTCTTTGTCATATATGACACTGACAACTCTGTTTGGTTTCCTTATTAGTTAGCTAATGGTTAGAGAGAGATTTCCTTCAATGCTTGGGATCATTAAGTCTTCCCATATTTGCTGAGAAGCTGTTTGTGGATTGGGGCACTCCTTCAACATTCAGCCAAGCTGTTGACAACTCTCCTTTACCCTTTACTTCCTGCTTATGCAGGCTTCAACCAGAGGTGAGAGCTAAGACCTTTTCACATTTTTCCTAAGCAGGCACACAACCCAGATCTCGAAGACAGTATTACACAAACATGTGGTCTTCTTTACTTCTAGAAACACACTGAAGCTTATCAAAGTCCTATGGACATCCTATTGCCCAGATTTTCCTTCTAAGTTTTTCGATAGCCCCCTCTTTGTTACCTACTGGTTTGTTATAATACCAAATGCTCTCCACTGTTTCAGGAAGCCACGATGTTGGACACTAGCCTCCAATTGTTTTTGACAAAGCCACTGGGGAAGAGGCTTCTTCCCCTGGACAAGCTCTGAATCAGGTCAAATAAAGGCAGACTTGGAATGGGGTCTTTTAGGGAATGAGCAGACAGATCAGATTCTCTGGAATGGGGCTTTGAAAGAGACTCAGTGATGTTTGGTCCCCTCCTATGATGGTCAGGCTGCTGGTTATCACTCTGATTGTGGGCTGTTGGTTTTCAAGTCTACTGTGGAGACAGGAATAGGGCAAGTTAAAATTCCTGTGGCATTTTGTTGTTGTAGCTGTTTGCTTAAACACACACACACACACACACACACACACACACTAGTTTGCTGCAAACTTCTGATTAATTTCCAGGGTTCTGAAAAAGTTGATCCTGAAAAAAAAATTTTTTTGCTAGTTTCCTGTTTGTTCTATGGAAGAGAGAATTTTCAGAGATTTTCACTCTGTCATTTTTTTCTTGTGTCACTAAAATCTCCACTTTTTAGTTGATTATGCTTTGACTTATTGAAATGAATGTTCATGAGGATCTGGTTATCTCTAGCTATAAATCTTTTCTTTCCTAATTAAATGTCCTTTTGAAAAAGGAGTTCTTCCCTGTTTCAAATAAGGTTGAAATTCTCCAGAAGGTTGAACTGCAAATAAGGCTGAAGTATCCGGCCAAACCATTCATCTGCTTTTCAGGGTTGAGATCTAGATAGTGAGGAGACAGTCCCTAACACTCTTTTCTGGGGTAGCAGGTCCTCACGTTAGATTTGTTCATTTTGAAGGCAAGCTCAACTTTTGGCTAAAGCTCTGGAAAATCCTCTTCTAACAGAATGCAGAGTCTGGATGAGCCGTGGACTGAAGAGGAGGGGGATGGCTCAGACCACCCGTACTACAACAGCATCCCAAGCAAGACACCTCCTCCAGGGGGCTTCGTGGATGTGCGGCTGCAGGCCAGACCCCATGGCCCCGACATAGCCCAGGTAAGTCCTGGACCCCGACCTGGGTCGTGGCCACCTGAGCTTTATTTCTTTTCGTCTTCCTCCACTTAACTGGCAGGCTGCGTTTTGTCCAGTCTTTGACAGGATAACACACCTGTTTTCTCCCCTGGGATGACACCAAGTAGACAAGAAGGGGAGGCTTTTGTTGTAACATCTTACGGTGTTAATCAGTATCTTGGAACTATACTATGATTCTGGAGATACGAGTCTGGGGTCTCCTCCATCCTGGGACAAGTCCCATTATGGGAGCTCAGTGAGAGGAAGAAAGAGTTCAAGACTTTTAAAAGGCCTGGGGTGCTCTGTGTTCCCTGAAAAGAGAGTGGATGTGGGCCCTTAAAATAGTGAGAATTTCAAGAGCCTTCTCTTTTATTCATTTCTTTGACTTTTCCTCCAACTCAACAGGCCAGTAAGGCGATTGCCGTTTTAGAGCTGTAGTACTTCTATTTCATTATAGAGAATTTTTTGATGTCACCTACTTTGTGCAAATAACAATGACGCTAAAAAAGTGACAAAATAACAGTGACATCAAGGGTCAATAGCTGTGACACGGAGACGGGCGGGCTGGGTTTGGCCAGGCGTGCGTGGCCATGGGAGGCGTGATCCGATGCCGAGAAACGCGCCGGCCAAAGTTTACTTTACGAGAGATGGCGCCGCACTGGGAGGGCTCACCTTTGGCCACGCGCAGGGAGGGATGGCGGCGGAAAATGAAAACGGGATGGGCGCGTGTAGTTCTGATTCGAGGCTGCCTCTTCCTCACACCCACGCAATCCTATCTCCCAAATCCTAACGCTGACCGTGAGGCATGCAGGGAAAAGTGGGAGGAATGGGGAAAGCGCCCTACTCCCTGCCGGGGTCCCTGGTACTGCACTGTGGCGTTTAGAGGTGGGGAAGAGGGAGACGATGCCTTTTCTCATTGTGTATTTACGTGTGTCTGTAGTTCGCAGGAAAAGAGCAAACTTACTACCAGGGGAGACACTTAGGAGACCCGTTTGGCGAGGACTGGCAGCAAACACCAGTCAGGCAAGGTGAGAGGCAGAGGGAGGCGGGCTGGGCTCGCCACACTCTTGGCCCGGCTAGGAGGTCCCCTGGAGGCACGGCCTGTGGGTGGGGGTCCTCAACCACACGCCCACCCTGGGCCTCCTGCGCTGCTAGAAGGGAGTCAACGTACAAAGCCTTCATTTACCCTTAAAGGCAAAACAGGGCAATTGAAATGAGGCTGTTTCTTCTGCTCTGTTCCTTGCTCTGCGGCCGTTGTAAAGGGGATACGGGGACCCGGGAGCCTCGGCCCCACTGTGCCCGCTCCACTTCCCTACCCAGGTCAGGGCCAGGGTCTCGGTCAGGCCCTAGTGATCCTGTGTCCACCCTCACAGGCCACCCCGTCGCATTTTGACAAGAAGACTGGGAAACTGTCCCGGTCAGAACACCACAGCGGTGAACAGGGTCCGAAGAGGGGCATTGAGCCGATGGGGACCCACGGAATTATCTAGCAGCCCTTCGGATTGCCTTCATCCAGGGGAGCGGGGCGGGGGGCGGCTTACAGGCAGACGCACCAATGACCACCCTTTCCGTTGTGAGAAAGAGACGGCTCGTTTCCTTGTTGCAGGGTCCCTGGATATCTACGGCATGCCGGAGGGGAAGGCGCACGCGGGCCCCGGAGAAGCCCCCACGTACGTGAACGCCCAGCACCTCCCGCCTCAGGCCACGCCGGCGTCGGGCAGCAGCGCAGAGAGCAGCCCGCGGAAGGACCTCTTCGACATGAGTGGGTTGCCATGCGTCTGGGTTTCCTGTCTTCTGAGGTCGCTTTCTGTGATGCCTTCTTTTTGAAACCTGTGCCATTAACACTCTTTCTGCTAGCAGCGTTCTGATGAGCAGTGATGGCTGTCTGCACTTTTCTGGGTTGTGAGTGGGCTTTTCGAGGCTTCGACCTTGGCTGACCTCTGCTTGGGGCTGACAGCCCTCTCTGAGTTCCGGGGACAGAGCATTTCCCCTCTTTTTCTAACTGACGTTCCTCTTGAAGAGCTGCCCGAGTGTCGAGGCAAATGATACACACACGAAAAGCACTCGTTTTTTCACTTAAATGTTGGTCGGCTGTAAGGGGACAGATTCTGTATCAGTGGCTAAAGGATGCCAATGTGGCATGCATGCCCCTGCTTCACAGAGCCCTCGGTCTGTTGACCAAGCCCAACGCGAACGCAAGGAAGTGATCCGCCATCTGGCGTGTGCACACTCACTCCCTCTCCCGTGTGCACACTTGTTCGCTCTCCCATGTGCACACTTGCTCACTCTCCCTTGTGCACACTTGCTCGCTCTCCCACACGCACACTCATTCGCTCTCCCATACGCACACTCGCTCGCTCTCTCGTATTCCTCTCCGTTGAGCATCTAGTGTGGGTCACGTACCATTCTGCTTACTGGGGTCTGCAGGGGAGCCAAACAGAGGGTCCCGCGGAGCATGAGTAACCACGCTGTGCTCGCAAGTGACAACCAGTGCCCTGGTGAACCCCCAGACAGGAGGAGGAGTGTGACAGGAAGCTCCTCAGCAGGGCGGGGGTGCCTGCTGTGGACCCTCAGCATCATGAGGGCTGGGACGCATAAATCAGCCAGGAACTCATAATGAAAGTGGGATTGTGGCTGAGGAACTTCGAAGGAGCTTCCCGAGTTCCCGAAGAGCTTTACATCCTCATGCTGCTTTGTCAGCTCCCTGAGACTTTTGTGGGCCAGAGGAATTCCTTAAGAATTTAACAAGTGTCTACCACAGGCTAGGCACCTGTTACTTTATTTAATTTCTGCAACAGTCCTGCATGTAGCCACCGTTACTATGGCTCTGTGGCTGGTCAGGGCAGCCTTGCCGGTGCGGCATGCACTCTACGGGGGCTGTGTGGGAAGGAGGATGTGCATGAGGGTGGTGCAATCCGGCGGCCTCCTGCCAGCAAAAGTCTATTTCTTCTCAGCCACTTTGGTTTCCCAGACAGTGGATTCCCATTCTGACTTGCAAAAATCACCACTGACAGAGGAATTGGAGACTCTTGGGGCTTGGAGGTACCTTAACGATCATCTAATCAAATCCCATCTCTTAAAAAATGTGGGAACAGCCTCAGAAGTATGAAGTCACTTTCCCAAGACGCAGGGCAAAGTGGAGGCTCTCTGAGCCTCTGTTCCAGCTATAATGATGCCTCCCAAAGGCAGTTTAGTACGAGTATTTATGGTCAATTTTCACTGTTTAATTTAGTCAATTAACCAGTGATTTCTGGCTCCAGAGCCTGAGAAGAGGTAGATAAGACGAGGGTTTGAGATGGGAAAAATAAGAACCAGAGCCATCCTTTGTCGTCAATCCATTTCTACACCTGCTCCCAAACCAGAGAAGGGGAGACAAGAAGAAGAAAGGGCCCTGGCGAGGCTGGTTGCTATTGAAAAGTCTGGGAAAAGAATTAAGCCAGCACTCTGTGTTGTTTCTCTTAAACCACAAGAGCTAAATAATGATGGTGGTGGTGATGGAGCTGCTCCTGGTGCTGATGGTAGTGGTGGTGATGGCGATGGTGGTGATAGTGGTGATGGTGGTGATGATAGTGAAGGTGGTGATGAGGGTGATGATGACAGCGATGATGGTAGTGATGTTGATGGTGGTGATGATGGTGATGTTGATGCTGACGGTGATGGTGATGGTGGTGATGATGATAATGATGGTGGTGATGGTGGTGAGGATGGTGATAGTGATGATGGTGATGTTGATGCTGGTGGTGGTAATAATGGTGGTGATGGTAGTGGTGATGTTGACAATGGTGGCAAGTGATGGTGGTGATGATGGTCATGATGGTGGTGATGGTGATGGTGAGGGTGATGATGGTGACAATGGTGATGGTCTTCATAGTGATGGTTGTGTTGGTGATGGTGTAGAAATGTTATAATACAGCCTTCAACTACTCCAGGTAATCAGGAAAAATAGGATAAAAACAGAAAAATCTAATTTTGGCACCAGTTTTAATCTGATTTTATTCCCAGATTTGTGAACAATGTAACAAGTATCGAAATGCCCTGATGGGGGTTTCATTTATTCACCTGACTCCTGCCCGTTCTCTACTCACAATTGGTCTCCTCCTAGAGCATTTGTTGAACATCTGTGGGTATGGACTATATCCCAGGGATGATGTAGGACTCTGGGGATGTAGCTGTGCCCGTTCTCGTGCTGCATGTCGGCATGGTCCCGTGTTGTTGTCATCACGCCTTACACTGCCACTGTGTGGCACCATGGGCATTTTTGAGAGCTTTTGTACATATTACCTCCTTTGAAAATGGAGAGTTGAGGTTTCATCAGATGTCCCTGGGGACTTTTCATGCTGCTGTTGTCTGTTGCCTGTGGTGGGAAGTGTGTCCTGAAGGGTGTGCGGTCATGCTCCATCTCCAACACTCACACAGAGACAAATGAAGGCCACGGGGAGGTAGTGCTCCTAGCCTGGGCCAAGTCACACAAAGGCACCTGGAAAATGTCCATTTTCTTCTCTTTTAAAAATTTGTCAGATGTAAGAATTTTGAAACAAACACCTGACAGCTGGTATAGGTTTTGCCCTAAATCTAACCTTGCAGATTATCTTCCCTTTCATGTATTTCTGTTAGCATTGGCAGGTTTTCATTCAGCAGGAAGCAGATTTGTTAAAAGGCTAGCCGATGTTCCAGAAGCAGTAGGTGGTCTGTATAATGCGTGGCCTGGTGCAGCGTGCAAAAGTGAAGTTGTTCTAACTGGTGAGACAGAGGGTGCCTTCAAATCCCTGGTACAAGGCGCAGCACCCGGCTGTCTCGGGAAACCCAACTAGTCAGAAAAAGGTGCCAAGGTTTGGGCTGTGGTTTCTATTACTGGTCAGTCATTTTTCTGTAGATTTGTTTCTTGTGGAAGTTGTCTTGGCATTTCCATCAATCACTTTGTGCATTTTAATATTTGCTCTTCTTGGGGGTTCACTTGTTTCTGGTGATTGTTGTTGGCAGAACCTTTTGAAGATGCTCTCAGGAACCAGTCCTTGGGGCCTGTGCTGAGCAAAGCAGCCTCCGTGGAGTGCATCAGCCCCGTCACCCCCAGAGCCCCAGATGCCAAGATGCTGGAGGAGCTGGAAGGGGAGCCTTGGTACCAAGGGGAGATGAGCCGGAAGGAGGCCGAAGGGCTGCTGAAGAACGACGGGGACTTCCTGGTCCGGAAAAGCGCCACCAACCCAGGCTCCTTCGTCCTCACAGGCATGCACAACGGCCAGGCCAAGCACCTGCTGCTCGTGGACCCGGAAGGCACGGTGAGCGCGGGGCGGGACACGACCTGCCTCCTTAGAACGGACTCCCCTTGGTCTCCGTGCTGGGTGACTCACTTTCCCTCCACTACCCACGTGTGCTGGCTGAGGGCCTGGTGGCCATGCCTGTGGGACCCGGGAGGCCAGGTGCAGAGGGCTGGTGAATTCAGGCCAGCACTGGGCTTGGGCTTGGAAATCATGAGGGCCTGGGGTAGAAGCGCTAACGCTGATGTCCTTTACAGTAAATGAATACAAATCCCGGGAAAGTCTTCTTGTCCAATACAGTCTTAGTGGACACAGACGTGCAGAGGTCATGGGCTTTCAATATTTACCTCAAATGTCTCTAAAGCTGAGTCACCGAGTTTCTGACCCTAGAGTGCATGCCGTGATGAGGCCGTACCTAAAGCCCTATTAAGTGGCCTCTTGCTTTCCCGCTCAGGGAAGTCATGCCTCGTGACAGTGAGCTTGGCGTTCCTGGCAGCATGGTTGTGTCTGAAGATCTCTGTGGGTTTGCCTGCATTTCCCATCTTTCAGTAAATAAAGAGATTTGACTTGATGTTAGCGCAGTCCAAGAACTGTTAAGTTTAATAAATGTAATGACATTAAATGAACCTTTAAATAAATTCCAGGATTGTTTTTAAAACTTGTTATCCAGTGAAAACAAAGACACAGGTAGCGTGATCAAATAGTAGCTCAGGGCATTGCCTGTCCTGACTGACGGGTAGGGACGAAGCCTCAGTCTTTGGCTAGCCTTGATCGCAATTTAATTTAATTTGGTGGAGGGGGACCTGACCTAATTTATGGCTTCTGGTGTCTGTACCTCGGCCCTGAGCCTCCTCTCCCCCCTGCACCTGGACAGCCCTTCGCGGGAACGTAGTGCAAACCCACCTTCTTTGGTCATGGGGATTTTCCTCACAGACATACATCAGGGAAAATACATACTATGTGTGTGTCTTAGAAATTTGGAACCATGAAACTGCCCCCAGTGAAATGAAATCCCATTTCATCTTGTTCATTTTTCCCTCGGCACGAGATTCGTCTGGGGTGCTTTCCATACGCGGAATCGTCGCTTGGCTGGGCTCCCGGGCGTCCCCCACTCTGTGGTCACAGGTCACTTGTGGAAATCTCTCAGGAAGGGCTAAAGGCACTAGGAATCCTCTTGTGTGTTTCCCCCGCTGGTCTTCTGGGGCACATCCCAGGGCTGGGGTTTTTGCTCACAGGATATGGGTACAGTTAGCGTCACCAGAGGCTCACTTTTCCTTCCAGAATGGCTGGACTACCACGGCGGCAGCTGAGCACCGAGGTTCCCTCCTCTTCCTCCTCCTGCTCCTCCTCCTCCATGTCGTCCTCCCAGTGTGGCGAATCTGAGTGGTGGGACGGGGAGGGAGGAAAGCACGTCTCGATGTTGGCTGTGTTGTCCTTTGACTGCATGTCCACAGGTCCCTCCTGGAAACATCACGTTCCGCCTTTCCCTCACGCTTCTCTTCTGAGTTTTCAGACATGCAGTTTCCACGTGAGCTCTCCCACGTTCTCACGCATCTGATCATTTTGTCCGTGATGTTCTCCACCAAATAGAAGTTTCCCTTGTGCAGAGGTTCACGGTCTTGAGTTTTAGAGGATTTTCTCGCCTGTGGTTGCAGACATACTCTACTCTTCTATATTTTCTTCATTTGGCTTTGAAAGCTTTGTTTTTCACGTTTATGTTTTAATTCTCACTGGAGGTACTTGGAAGATGACCTAAGATGAGGACCCCACACTGTTTAGATCTGCAGGCAGTGAGCCAACATGGGTCACACGGACGGTCCTTGTGCTCCACAGCCCATGCCTGGCGCGTCGGGTTGCGTCTTGAGTGAGCGCCTGCTCCGTCCTGCTGACCTCCTGTCCCGGTACCGGTGCCCCGCCACTCAGTCAATATGGCTTTGAAACAGTCATATCACCTGGTTTCATGGCTTCCTCGTGAAACTCCTTTCTGTGCTCTCTAGTGTAGGTGTTCGCAGACCTTTTCCTCTTTGTTGGGGTTTTAGAGCCTGTTTATCCAGGCACTGGGAACGCGGGATTCTGGTAGGACGGGCGTTGAATTTGCCGTTGAGTTTTGGGGACCGCCGACCGCGTGCAGCATTCGGTCATCACGTCCATGAACATGGCCTGATGTCTACTTATTTAGCGTTAAGATGCCCGTTGTTAGAATTTAAAAATTCTCTCCAGGAGGTTCTGGTGCTCCTTTGTTTGGTTATGTGCTAGATCGTCTGGTTTTAATCTTGTTGAACGTGGTGTTACTTTGATTACGTTTTCTCGACAGTGACTGCTGGCAGGAGAGGAAAGTGGTGAGATCTTGCCGGTGGCAGCGGTTTTTTCCGGGACACCGGTTATGCGGTGGCGAACACCAAGAGCTGTGTCTCCTGCCTCCGGGCCGCCCACCCCACGGGATGGTCCCGCCCCACCGTGCGGACCGGGCGCCCATGGACGGTGACCAGGAGAGGGCGCCATTGTCTTGAAACAACAGCCTGAAAGGGGCTGTTGGAGGCTTTGTTCCCTTAAGGATGATGTAAGCTTTTGGTAGCTCCTCCTCACCTGCCCAAAGCATGGCACTCCCTGGTTCATTCACTCCACAAAGTGCACCAACCGCATAGCTACCGAGGCCAGGCACTGGCTTGGCACCTGGGCTACGGTCGAGAACCAGGTGCAAAACACAATTCCTGCTTGTGTGTAAATCATATGTATTAATCTCTTAATTACTTTTGTCATCCTGGATTTTATCAAATGCTTCTTCAGCATCACCTGATATAACGGAATAATAGTGTGGTCTTTCCTTGAGTCTGTGAACATGGGGATCTGCTCAAGCAAGTTTTTCTGATGCTACGCCCTGGCATGAGCCCTGCTCGGTCCCGACGTGGCCTTCACGAGCGGCCTTGCTGGGTTGGGGCATCTAACACGAACTTTCCGACATTTCCAGTTGCACTTGCAAGGTGAGGTCGGTCTTCATGGTCTTTGCTGCCTTTTGTTTGTGCTGCTAATCTGGTTGGGGTGTCAACATTATAGGTTTCTGTTCACCTCTCACAACAAGCAAGGCTTGCTCCGGTCAGAGAACCCTCCCTCCCCGTCTCATGTCACACAGAATCCCTGGGAGGGCCCCTATTTCCGCACCGTGATTTATTTTGACCCTGAAGCCCTTGTCACAAACAGGCATTCATTTATTTGTTAACATGCTTCTTAATTGGTTTTCCCCACTGGACCGTCATCTCTGTGAAGGGAGCAGCCTTAATCCTCGTGGTACCGTGCTGGGCGCCTTTGACACGCCCGTGGCAGGTGAGGCACAGAGGGACGCAGGGCTTTCTCGAGAGCTGAGAGCCCCAGAGGCCACATGGTGCTAGGGGGCCTGTGCTACTGATGGGAGTGTGTGTTTAGAATGCGTGCAGAACGATTTCCCTTTGCAAGGGCTGCTGCTATGGCATCTCTGTTCTCTGAAAGAAAATACCCCAGCAAGCCTGTGAAAATATAAAGAATGTAGCTGAAACTTTTAGGTATTTTTTGAAGATGAGAGGTTCACGGTTTATCTAAATTATATCATCTCAGAGAGCGAAGACAGTTAATGTTTTATTTACTCGGTCCTTATAGACAAGAGGACGATGAGGGAAAGAGAGGTATGACCGCTCCTCTACACGCGCACACGGGGGAGAGGAGAAGGTTAGGGAGGGGCTGGGCTGTGGCCATGAGCTCACAACAGGTGTGTCAGCACGCCACGGACCCAGGCCGTGCTGTCCACGTGGCTCCAATTTTGGAGGAAAAATGCCTAGTGCCGCTGAGGAAATCCGCAAGTCACACCTCCTGAGAACCGTCCCTTTGGGAGGCTTTTTGCTGGGTGGGCTCATCTAGTTTAATTGATCCGGGGGAGGAGGCCTTCAGCTGAGAAAGACCTCATCCCAAATGTAATGTCGCTTCCTCGCCGTTAGGATGCCAAAATAGATGACGAGCACATTCTCTTCAATATTTATTCCTCTGATTTTCATGGGAATTGGTTGGTCCCTGACGATAAAGGGGGAAACTTGGCAGAACAGATTCCTCCGAGAAAGAAGGATACGAAATGGTTCCGAGTCTGAATTTACTGCAGAGTACGCCCGCCTGCGCGCCTTCCCGCTGCACACCGATCGCGCAAGACGGGGGCTCCTGGGGTCGCCGGAGTCTCGGGGGACCAGGAGGGCAGGGGCGGAACTCCTGAGCCCCCGGGGCAGGGTGGGGCCCAGGCTCTGCAGGAGCAGCTCGGGAGAGGGAGTCTGGGGCGCGGGCTTTCCTGGGCAACGCCCTCCCCATCCTTCAGTTGGCCCCCCTGAGTTTAAGATATTCCCCGAGGCCCCTGTCCCTTTGGCCAGAAGGGCCAGCAGACTGGGGCGGTCACCTGCTTGCATTTGGACAGGTGGCCGGCGCCCCCTGCCCCCGTGGCTGGTGTGCCGTGGGCTTCCCAAACGTGGCCTCAGGGCGTGGCACATTTGAAAGTACAGGCCGGCTTGGCGTTCGGGAAATCACAGAATGACGGCAACCGTCCAACGCCCCACACTTATTAGGATTTTATTTTATTCTGAGAGTAATTAAGAAAACAAATCCCCCCGCCATCCCTCCACTTTACAACGCCTTGTTATTTTCAAGTTCTCTTTGTCGCAGGCAGACTAGATGGTGCTAAATTAACCAATGACATGGGAATTCTTGCTGGTCTGAGCTGCAGTCCCCACTCACCCAGGGGGGAGTTGCCCCTCAGCTCTCCACCCCGATACGCCGCCACCACCTGCCTGCAGACCCCCTTCACCCCTCATCCCCAGCTGTCCCAGGAAGGGGTGTTCTCCAGCGTTTACCTGGAGGCTGGGCGAAGGGGGTGCTGGGCCGGCTTCTCCCCAGCAGACCCGCTCCTTCCCCTGTAATTACTAAATATTTGGAGGCAGGCACCATGAAACTACCTAAATGCCTTCTTCCCAACCAAACCTTCACGCTGCTAATGAATTTGTCTTTACCCGTGT